CCACAATTTTATAAGACATCGACCTATTTCAACTATTAAAATTGATCGTGCTTGGTTCTTAACCCTAAGTGAGCATGCACTTATCTTTATTATAGATTTTAACGTATATCTCGTTTTATGACGTTGAAAATAACCTATAACATGCCTCTAACATGCTTTATATAATAATTATATAATAATCCATTCCATGCAATAATATAACAATTTATATCTATCCCTCGTGGAACCCTAAATATGCATACTATACATTATAACACTTATAACATACTTGAAATGCATGAAACATGCTTAGCCTATAGTGAGATTTTAAATCTATATGACATATTTTATGCATAAACATTTTCTATTTAATTAAAACATACCTTCATAATGCATAATTAACTTGAACCGCTCCCGACGATCACGAACTGGGCGAACCAATCCTTAAAAACGTTGAACCGGACCCCAACAGTAGAAAAAACACCCGAGTCGCCTCTTCCATCTTCTTCTTCGGTTCAGCTTGCTATCTCTTCCATTTTCGATCAATTACAACCTAAAATGGACTCTAATGACTCCATAAAAATTACAGACCTTTCTTCACTCATTAAAGCTCATACACATTAGGCTTGTTACAATAGTTGTATCACATAGAAGTTTAAAAAAAATGCCAAAACCAAAAACATCCACTTTAGCAACCACAAAATTTCATTCATGAGATGGTACCCACCATGCTCAAATTAATGTAAATAAAGTGCCTAAAACTTGCTCTGATACCAATTGATGGAGTTAATATAACACATGCAGAAACAATTTGGATCTTAAGCACTCTTAGAACATCAATTATAGTAAATAACTAGTATGTTCATAAGTATTAAAACTCAAGGTCTTTGAGTACCAACCTTTTGTAGTTCAAATTCATTTTTTCTCACGAATCGGTTTCGAACCACCACTAGTGTCTTCTCCACTATTCTCTGGCCTTAGAACGGGATTGTGGAATCCGATGAGTGACTAAACTTGGGAGGGATATGGTATATATGAAGAGAGAGTTTGTGAGAGTTTTTATCGAGGTTTTTCCAAGGAAAAACTTCCATGTACCTTGATCAATCTATTTAAAGAGTCATGTCTGCATGTTCATGCAAATTTGAGATCACCAAATTTTAACACTCAAACTTTCACTAAAATTTGTGAGGTTTATTTGGCAAGCATGTAAGTTTGGTTAAACTAAATTTTGACACCTCAAAATTCCACTGACTCAAACATGGATTTTTCCACTAAATGAGGTCAAACATTTTGACTTTCTTCATTTTAATTCAACAATTAATTTGAATAATTAATTTCAAATTAGGGTAATATTAAATGATTAATTAAACTATTTAATTAATATTTAATATTAATTCAAATGTCAATCCCAATCAATTTCGACTCATATTAGATTTAAATATATCATATTCTCTCTTTTTGTTTAATTCATAAATAAAACAAAAATGCGGTTAAATGTATCATATATATGTAGCGCATATTCCCTAATTTGAATTCAAACACTTCGAACTCACTCATCACACTGTTCTATGGTTTAGTCTGATATGAGCTAGCAGAGGAACCTAATAGACCTATAGATCATGGACTCCAACGATCCAAGATTAACCGGTTAAACTCATTAACCTTGTTAACCAACATTCGTTAACTACTAGGACACTCCATCATAGCCTCGTAGTTGCACTCCCCTCACTATAGATATATTTCTGTCCATTTGATATAACCATGATTAGTAAGTCGATCCTTCACAGGTTGTTCGTAACTAAAGCTGGGTCAATTTACCGTGTTACCCCTGAAGTTACTTCTTGTTCCTTATGTCCCACTGATCCTCTAATGAACAATTGGTTTGTGGTTCAACCAGTAAACCGAATCCCTCTCAGACCAATGAGAGGGTGGGGCCCCTTGTTGACCTGAAGTCACTACTTAAGAGAACTACCTCTCTTCTACCCTAAAAGTGGGTAGGAGTGAATTTCATCTTGCACCCCACGTCCCCAGCCATTCACCCAGTCTTACCCCTGAAATGGGAGGCCTATTGAGATGGCGAGCTCAAGCCACTCTCACCCATGCAAATCTAAGGATAATTCCGAATAAACATGAGTTCATGGTTAGCTCAGAATTAAGATCGAGCTACCTAGGTCATCGAAAGAAAATCAGTCTCAACAGTAAACGACATTATAAAGTGAGAGTGATTTTCTTCATGGTCCGATCTTGTGCAATACTTATTGCATAGGATGCCCCCACTCACATGTCTCCGCATTACAATTTAGTGATCACATTGTTTATGTCATATACAAAAGTGGGCCACATCCATAGTGTCCCGGATAAGGTACTCAACCTTATCTCTGTACTATCGATCATTTTGACTATATACTTGAACTTGATTCACTCTTATGTCTCTACATATAGTTCAACTAATCATACTATAGTCAGAGTGTTCTTAGTTTATTGGATTTAGATTAGTAATCGTAAAATTCACTTTATTCAATAACAATCTTTACTGAATAAACATCAATAATAGATTTATCGAAAATAGAATATGTTTTTGTTTATAAACTATGAGTTTTAGGACATAAAACCCAACAGGTTAATAGTTCTAACGGGTGTCCAGCCTAGGGAGCGTCCCAGTGTATGCTCGCCCGACAAGTAAGGTGGCCCAGCGGCATGCGAACTGACTGGTGAGCCCATACCGGGTATGGGCTGTGTGTAGAGTATATGGTACACGTCCAAATTACCCGTTAGAACAGCACCGTAGGAAGACAGATTGAAAGATAGGTCCCATCATCTCATTGCATGTGATTGTTGCATAACCCCGATAGAGGGTCACTTACTGGGTATTCTAGAAATACTGTCTTGTGCTACTATATTTTTCAGATAAAGGCTAGTTTAGGTTAGTTGAATTTCGTTCACATATTAGTTTAGGTTGAATTCCCCTTTGCATCAAAGTTAGTATAGGTTAAATTGTAATCGCATAATAAATTATAGGGTAGTATAAGACATTTGTTTCAACGTTGTTCTTTTTCCTTTCTTTCCCTTATTCGTTATTCATGAGGTAAACTTATGTCGCATTTATGAAGAGACAATTTAAGGTAAATTCCACATTTAAAATATAATAGGTAAATTCCACGTTTAAATTATAGTAGGTAAATTCCACGTTTAAATTATAGTAGGTAAATTCCACGTTTAAATTATAGTAGGTAAATTCCACGTTTAAATTATAGTAGGTAAATTCCACGTTTAAATTATAGTAGGTAAATTCCACGTTTAAATTATAGTAGGTAAATTCCACGTTTAAATTATAGTAGGTAAATTCCACGTTTAAATTATAGTAGGTAAATTCCACGTTTAAATTATAGTAGGTAAATTCCACGTTTAAATTATAGTAGGTAAATTCCACGTTTAAATTATAGTAGGTAAATTCCACGTTTAAATTATAGTAGGTAAATTCCACGTTTAAATTATAGTAGGTAAATTCCACGTTTAAATTATAGTAGGTAAATTCCACGTTTAAATTATAGTAGGTAAATTCCACGTTTAAATTATAGTAGGTAAATTCCACGTTTAAATTATAGTAGGTAAATTCCACGTTTAAATTATAGTAGGTAAATTCCACGTTTAAATTATAGTAGGTAAATTCCACGTTTAAATTATAGTAGGTAAATTCCACGTTTAAATTATAGTAGGTAAATTCCACGTTTAAATTATAGTAGGTAAATTCCACGTTTAAATTATAGTAGGTAAATTCCACGTTTAAATTATAGTAGGTAAATTCCACGTTTAAATTATAGTAGGTAAATTCCACGTTTAAATTATAGTAGGTAAATTCCACGTTTAAATTATAGTAGGTAAATTCCACGTTTAAATTATAGTAGGTAAATTCCACATTTAAATTATATTAACGACTTTAGATTAAATAGGTAAAAGACGCATTTTAAAGCCTTGAGGGGAAGCCCAAAAAGGGAAGCTCAAAGAAGACAATATCTGCTAGCGGTGGATCTGAGCGTTACAAATAGTATTAGAGTCAGACACCGGACGATGTGTCAGTCTTCTCGCTATTCCCCGCTATTCCCCGAAGGGAGTAGACACGAGGCGGTGTGCCAATAAGGACGCTAGGCCCCAAAGGGGGGTGGATTTGGGGGTGGTCTCACGTCGATTGGAGGAAAGAAAGAGTGCCAGTGAAGACGCTGGCCCGAAGGGGGGTGGATTGTGATGTCCCACATTAGTTGGGGAGGAGAACAAACCACCATTTATAAGGAGGTGGAAACCTTCTTCTAGGAGATGCACTTTAAAACCTTGAGGGGAAGCCCGAAGGGGAAAGCCCACCCTAGCAGGCGCGTTTTACAGCCTCGAGGGGAAGCCCGAAGGGGAAAGCCCACCCTAGCAGGCGCGTTTTACAGCCTCGAGGGGAAGCCCGAAGGGGAAAGCCCACCCTAGCAGGCGCGTTTTACAGCCTCGAGGGAAAGCCCACCCTAGCATACCCATTTTAAAGCCTCGAGGGGAAGCCCGAAAGGGAAAGCCCATAGAGAACAATATCTACCCTAGCATACGCATTTTAAAGCCTCGAGGGGAAGGACGAAAGGGAAAGCCCAAAGAGAACAATATCTACTAGCAGTGAATCTGAGACGTTACCAGATGAATCCCACATTGGCTAATTAAGGGGTTGATCGTGGATTTATAAATAAGGAATACATCCGCATTTAAATGAGGCCTTTTGGTAAAACCGAAAACAAAGCCATGTGAGTTCATGCTCAAAGTGGACCATATCTTACTATTGTGGAAGGTCGTGGTTCCTAACAAAAAAAACTTCAAACAATGATGCAAAATTAAGAAGAAAAAAATTGTGGCAAAAATCTAAGAGAGCAGTGAAGATAACAAAGCCAAATCAAGCACGGATAGTTAACGATTGGCAAAAAATCTCATGGGGTCAAACTTAACTCATGCAACGACTCAACCAGAAGCTCATTTTAATCGTGTATGGATAAGCATGATTAAAAGGCTAATATAACATAATTCTCACATTTAAAAGAGACATAACGGTTTACAAAACTAAATAAGTTCTTCAAAATGAAACACACACTCTTATTTCAAAGGTTTATGATAGACAAGAAAAACAAGCAAAAGCTAAAATATATATAATTTTCATAGCTCTGCAAGAGACGTTATCATCCGCCATGCTTTCCATTATTCTTACCTGAAAACTAAAATATATATGATTTTCATAACTCTGCCAAATCTTTTCCTTTATTTTTACCTGAAAAATAAAATATTTTTAAAAAATTAAATATTATAAAAAATACTACTTAATAAATGATCTATTACTGGGATCAAAAAATACAGATGAAACATATAAAAAATGAAAACTAATTTTTTATTAAATATAGACACGCGGACCACACGTGCCTCCAAGTATGAACTCCAATATGATTTTGTGGGAAAATTTGAAGATAGAAAGAATGAAAAACTTACTGAATACGCCTGCAGAGAGTGAGACCATCTCCAATAGAGAGGAGAGCTATCTCAATGCGCGAGTCATTAACAAGAAAAGCATTGAGTTCTCGCAAATGAATTCTATTAACCTTTAAAATCTCATCAACATCGTCTTCGTTTTGTGCCACTGATCCAAACCATAGGGTATTGTCGTATGCAATCACTCCACCTACCTTCACCAGTTTCAAGAGAAATTCGTGATATATAATGTATCCTTCTTTGTTAGCATCCACAAATGCAAAATCAAATTCTCCTCCTTTTCCCTGTTCAACGAGAAAAAAATACATAATATTTAATTTAATACGAACTATGAATTGACGATACACGACAATCAATACCATTGCCAAACAACTTTTAAAATTTTCTTTTTCCTTGCGCAATAAGGACTTACATCATTGATGAGGTCGTTGAGAAAGACCGACGCCTGTGCTTCTACAAAATTGATCTTATGATCAACTCCCGCCTTTTTCATAAATGGCAAGCCAACCTCGAATGATTCTTTGTTCACATCAATGGCCGTAATCTACCATCCAAACAAGCAAACAAAATAGTAAATTTTATTATCTTGGTAATACTCCTTAAAGATGTACATGGTCTAGGTTGGATTAAGAGTTTTTTTTTTTACTCAACCCAAAAATTTGGGTTTGGGTTGGTTGGATTGGTAACCAACCTGAAAATTTTTCACAACCCACCCCAACCCAACCCTTTATTTTTGGGTTCGGTTTGGGTTAAGGTGTTCGCACTATACTTAACACTATACAAAATATTAAAAGTTTGCCAACAAACACTTTTTTTTTTTTAATCTTTTTAAAAAGTTTTATTTATTCACACTACACAAAATATTAAAAGTTCCCAACAAACACAAATAATTTATAATTATTATTATTAAAAAAAAACCTAGAAAATTTATATAGATGATAAAATTAAAAAATAATAAAAATGATTACTTTAAATAAATTATACATTAAAAACCATAAAAAATACTTTTATATTCAAAATAAAATAGATGCATGTATAAATCATATTCAACACAAAAAACTTAACCAACCCAACACTCTATTAGGGTTGGGTTGGGAGTTGTCGGATTTGATATTTTATTTTTAATTACTAAATTATATATATAAAAAAAATTATATATATAAAAAGGGTTGGTCGAGATGTTGGGTTTGATATTTTATTTTTGTAATCACTAAATTATATATAAAAGAAGAAAAAAAAACTCAAAATTGTTCGTTGGTTTATAGTTTCTGTTAAACCTTTTTGAAATATATATTTATGTCTCTTTTTTTTCATGAAAATTGTTATTACTATTATTTAAGGAATTTGGATGAAAATTAAGTTATATTTAATATAGATAAACTAAATTTAAGCATTTGAGGAAAGGAAAGGCGAATTAGAGTGGGGAAATGATATTTGAAATTAACTGAAACCAAATTGATCAGCAACGAAATTAATCAGCAGATGGTGGCGATGAAGATTGAGGAGGAATCTAGGCCTTACCTGACCATCAGCGGGCAGTGCTAGCGCAGTGGCAAGGAGCGAATAGCCAGTGAATACGCCGATCTCTATCGTTTTCTTCGCGTTCATCAGTTTCAGAAGCATCGATAGAAACAATCCTTGATCCGCCGGTACGCTCATCACGCTCCTGCAACTCAATCGTCAAATTTCCTTCCAAAATCATTAAACACTCTCCTACACGATTACCGAATACAATCCAGCCGAATCGATCGTTCTAAACTTTCCTAATCGAATCCAAACGGATTGAAATCGCAAAAATCTAAGTCGGAAGAAGAATCGGAATCTCACCATGGCTTTAACGTTTCTAACGTGGCTTCTCTGAGTTCCTTCAACTGTTCGTGCTCTCTCGGATACGAATTCTCTTCCAGTATATACTGCAATCAAATACAAGCGCTCTAAAGTTCTCTAATCTTCAGCGATTTTTAAGAACAGTGTTTGATGAAATTAATTCATCTCAGAACAATCGCAAGTAATTAACGTAAGGAAGGCGCAGTGCAGAGATTATTAATCAGTCCTCAGAATCAAATACTACCGCTCAAACTTCTCTAATCTTCAGCGATTTTTAAAAACAGTGTTTGATGAAATTAATTCATCTCAGAACAATCGCAAGTAATTAACGTAACGAAGGCGCAGTGCAGAGATTATTAATTAGGAAGGGGAACGAACCTGGACAAGAGCAGGGCTCTGGAGGATGTTCTTCATAGACCTGTAGGCCATGATCTACTCTGCAACGAGCGAAGGAGGTCCTGTGAGAGTTTTATGGGATACCGCGCGTTGCATATAGCATTGCAGCTTTTGTGCAAAGATAGGCCAAACCATCGCGTGGAGAGCGCTCTGTACGTTTTTAGGGAAGTTGTTAGTGGAAAAGCGTAACTACTTTTATTTTTTTCTTTTAAAATAATCATTACTATGAGATGTCATGCCTAATTAACATCATTATATATTACAACCAAAATAATAATTAAAAATATTGCTAAAATGTCACCGTTAGACGAACACGACCCTCCACAATGGTATGATATTGTCCACCTTCATTCCCTGAATTAGGGAATATAAGACTTTCATTATCCAACACCTCTCCTCGAACAAAGCACGCCACCCGCCACCCCTTAATCGAGGCTCGACTCCGAAGGCTCGACTCCTTCGGAGTCTTAGCCAATGTGGGACTTTCATCATCCAACACCTCTCCTCGAACAAAGCACACCACCCGCCACCCCTTAATCGAGGCTCGACTCCTTCAGAGTCTTAGCCAATGTGGGACTTTCATCATCCAACATCTCTCCTCGAACAAAGCACGCCACCCGCCACCCCTTAATCAAGGCACCATGTTAGAGGATTGTTCGACATTTGAGGATTTACCAATCTATTGGCACGACTAAGTTTAGAGCATGACTCTGATACCATGTTAGATGGACACAACTCTCTGAATATTGTTCAGTTTGAACAAAAGCTCTCATGACTTTGCTTTGGACTTACCAAAAAGATCTCATACCAATGGAGAGAGTATTCTTTATTTATAAACCCACGATCATTTTCTGAATTAGCCGATGTGGGACTGTCATCATCCAACAGGCACCATACGATGACACTATAAGAAATAATAGATACGATAGCATACACAAACCGCTATCATAAACTTTTTATAGCGTTTTTCGTACGTAGTGACAACCCATATTATTAAAAGTCAAAGACTTTTTATAGCGTTTTTTATAGCTTATATGCATTGTTATAAAAACATTTCATAGCATTTTATTGAAGCGTTAATATGTTGAATATAGCTAAAATATTATGCTATCTTTAACTTATTATAACAATTTTTAACGCTATAATATAGTATTTATAACTTTAATCGCTCATTTATTATTTAGTTATCATTTCATTAATTATATTTTGATAATAAAAAAATTATTCAAGTATTCATTTTTTACTAAATCTATCTACGTTACAAAGAGAATAAAGGGAGTGTAGAATGTGTACCTCTATATGTATAGGTCACGGACTCCTTGTTGTAGTATCTTATACTTTATAATTTCTTTCCGGTTTCTTTTCGGTGATATTTAGCAAGATGATAAGCAATCAAAACTAAACTGCTCGGAGATATTCTTGTAAACTATAAGAATCGTTAATAAGCATAATATGAGACACCATTTCTGTGCTACACCAAGACCCACTGATCCATTCTTGAAGAAATTGCTCACTATTTGGAGTTTCTGACTCGGTGTGCAAGATTATAGCTAATAGGAAGTAGTTTTCTATTTGTCTGTAGTAACTGGTTTGTTTTGAAATAGTTGATTTGTTTTTTTTATTCGTTTTGATTCAGTTGGTTTGTTATTTTGTTTTGTAAGGCTCTATAAAAGTCGTATATCCTTCGGTAAAGATCAATCAATTCCCTTTTTAACTATAAGAGCCCAACCATAGAAAAATATGACATCAAACTCACAAATCTACCGAACTAACACTTTGAGTGAAAATAAATAAATAAATAAAATAAAAAATAACATAAGCAAAAATCAAAAGGATCTATGTCAGCACGATACCTGACATAGGAGTCTTTACATTCCTCGTGCTACTGATACCTTCTAGTACTGAGGAGTTTTTCCATGTCTGTCTATAAAAAGGTTCCAATGGACTAACCTTACTCTATTTCATAACTTTGAGAGAATGTTAAGCAACATAGGGTTGTAAACAAACTCCCAGAACCATCATCTATGATATGAAGACAAACCAGTAGAATAAAAAGAATTTTTACTGTGTATTCTAAAAAATATGACTAACACATAAAAACACGAAGGAATGAAAAGGTTTTTATGCAGCACATGCACTATTTAATTCAGAATGATGTTATTGTGCTAGTTTTATATAAAAAGCCGGTGGATTTTTTTAATAATCTCAGAATGAGAATAGAGCTTTGTTGGTTTGAAGTGAGCCGGATGACTATATTTACGAGAGAAAACTCTAGGTCAATATGAATCACGTAGATACAAGTTATAACTTGGAATGAAAGATAATTACAACTAACTTTGCCGACAATATGTACCCCTAGGCCTGACTATGGGCGGCTAATGTACGTTCGAAATGCTGAAAATCAATTGTAAAGAAATAAGAGCATATAATTTAGTGGTGTGCGTGTCCGTACTTAATTTACAAGAGAAGTAATCTACACTCGTGTGACATACAATATGTATGAGATCTCGCATTTTAAATCATAGTTTAGTGTAGTCTACTATTGTTTTTCTTTTTCTTTGTTTTTATGTGTACCTACGTGTAAAAGATTTTTTTTTTTTTTTTGTTATTTTAAAATAGACTAAATTAATAAAAAATATATTTAAATTATATACTTTATAAAAATTATATATTAACTTTACTAACTAAATAAGCCCGAAAAAAAAAACATAATATAATTTTGATATTTAAAGGAAAAATAACGTTTTACGAAACTAAATAAGTTCTTCAAATGAAAAACATACTCATTAGTTCAAAGGTTTATGATAGAAAAGAAAAAAAAGAAAAAAAAATGCCCGAACTAAAATCTATATGATTTTCATGGCTCAGCAACAGACGTTGTTATCCACTTTGCTTATCCTTGTTTTTATCTGAAAAATAGAACATTTTTTTAAAAGGATTAAATAATATAAAAATACCTAGTCAGTGACTCCATTGTTGAGGTCGAAAAATACAAATACATAGAAGCATGTTATACATGAAGACTTTCTATCCATAACTTTCCTCGGTTGGTCGGATCGTCGCTTTCTCTTGTGGTCATGTTATCAAATTTAAAAGGAATATAATTGTAATCACATCGTTACAAAAATATTAGGGGTCACACCACTACCTCTTCACATCCTCTAATTATCATAGCTCGTAAACATAAATGGACATGAAGTACCTAAAATAATAATGCATAATACAACTCGTGACATATTGTCATATGCCTATTCATGTAATATCATCATTTCTTGTGTGAGTAGCATTTATGTCGGCATGAGTAGTATCATATCATCATATCATGATATGAATCACATACGTGCATCATCAACATTACTCTTCTACTAGCATTTGATGATCATGATTCATAATATGTTCATCAATATACTTACATAACAACGTACATTTCTATATATAATGATTCATCTTCTGACCTACCGTACCTTCCAATAGTAAGTTCACTACTTTGTAGTGTATTTCCACTAAAACATGATTCAAAGCTATTCTAGTATTTTTCATACTTCAACGACTATCTAAGTCACGCACAACTGACATAGGAACATTCGTAGGTACCCAATTTCCTTAACATATGTTCCAAAACAACCAAATTTAAAGAGAAACTAATCTCAATCGGGCTCTATTTGATCAGAATCGAAGTAACACTCTAATGTTAAACTGGTCTAAAAGGGCGAAACTAGTAAAATAAAAAAATGGTTGAATTAGTTAAACGGACTATGAATCAAGTCGAATGAAACTGTGTCTGGTGTCATGGTCATGCTTGTCTAAGGCATGTTGCATGTAGCCATGTGTCGGATGTTCAGATCATGCTTATCCAGAACGTGTTACTAGTGGTTGGGTCCAGGTTGTTTGTGGTCACCCAAATGTATGAGAGAGACCCCAAGTCAACACCTCCAAAGGGGGGACAAAGACAACCCTCCAAAGAAACTCATGTTTACTCATAAAGACCATCCAGAAAAATGAAGAGAAGGGCTAGTTGAAAGCGTCGGTCATGACTGATTGTCAATTCTTCCTACTCAGGTTATTTGCTATCAAAGCGTGGTTATTGTTTATTTAGCCTATAGTATTGCTTTCTTATAAATTGTTTTCATGGCATTTTCTTGCTCACGTTTTCTAAAATACCTTCTCTCAAACGTGACCGAGACTCAATCATACGTATGAATTATTCTTTGACTTATTCACTAAATTAGAATAAGTGCTGCACAATAATTTAAATATTTTTTCTTTTATAAATTTTCAAAATTATCTATTATGGACAATTTACGGTATTTTCTTTGATATTTTAATAAAATTGAGGTCTTGGTATTTCCATCAAGGTCGGTCGATGTTAAGTAACTTGCTTTAAAATTTTAGCAAATCTAACGGTGAGAACTTTTTTTTACATAAAAATATCATTTATAAACTTATGTGAGAAAATTTGAATATAGAAAGAATAAGAAACTTACTTAATACGTCGGCAGAGAGTGAGGCCATCTCCAACTGAGAGGAGAGCTATCTCAACGCGCGAGTCATTAACAAGAAAAGCATTGAGTTCTCGCGTATGGCCTCTACTAGCCTTTAATTTCTCCTCAACAACGTCGTCGCTCTGTGCCACTGTTCCAAACCACAGGGTATTGTCATAGGCAATTATGCCGCCAATTTTCACCAATTTCAAAAGCAATTCGTGATATTTAATGTACTCATCTTTATTAGCATCCACAAATGCAAAATCAAATTCTCCTTCTTTTCCCTATTCAACAAAAAAAAAAAAAAAAAAA